ACACTTACACTATGATTATCACTATGACTATTACTATCTAAAGATGGAATCATATGCTATCTAATTAGTTTATGGAATGTCCTATCAATCTCAGGATCAAATGGATGCAAAAAACCTGGGTTGCTCCTAGTCATGCACTACATGAAACACATGCATTCAGGACACGTGAACAGTAGGGGTAAAATGGGAATTTCCATGAAAACTCAGAAAACATCAAAAATCATGCACCAATATCATTCGAAATTCATTAGAAACTACCACAAAAAATTTGAGAGCAAAATTCAAAGCCTAACTATATGAACCACCTATGAAAAGTTTGGAAAAATAGGGAAATAAAACTTGAAAATTTGAAAAAAAATAGTAAACGACCTTTTTTTGAAAATCTAGCTGGGGCCAAATAGCATAGCAATTTAGGTTTGATAGATCTCATTTTTCTACACAAATTGAAAAAAAAAATTTGTCCAATTCTGATAACCAGAGCAAAAGTTATGGCCGTTTGAAGTTTTGCAAAAATCTAGGCTCAAATTTTTGTATCTCCAAATCTGGACCACCTTGAGAGCCCCTAGTATTTTTCACACAAAATATGGGTTGAAAGAAGTTACCATACAAAATTTTTGGCAAAAATAACAAGTGTAGCTATCAAAACCAAAAATCACAATTAATTGGAGAATTCTGGCAGTACTTAGCACTATTCACCGCCACATGAAATGCAAAAATTTCACACCTCTTCCCACAATTCTTGAACCTGAACAGAGGAGTAGTAGGGAGAGAAAATAGAGCACACCTAATTTGAATGGAGAGACTCAATCAAAACACAAAAACGCACAAGTAGAAGAGAACCTAAAGCACAACACAATTGATTCACGGATTAGGAAACAAGCAAGAACATGAATCAACTTACTTCTTATGTGACATATAGGATCTATCAAAAAAATTTAGAAAATTTAGATCCATGCAGCAAACACATATTTAGACATAGGAGAAGGAATACAACACGAATTCACTTAGAAAAAGTTAGAACACAAAACCTCAAGAGCACTAGGCTCTAGATACCAAAAACTGATGGAACTACTTCGAGAAGATAGTTGTTCATCCAAGTCTCCATGCAAAGGACTGAAGAACTCTTGAGGTAGAACTCCTTGAGGTGGCGGAATCACCTTGGAGGATTCTCCAATGGTGGAGAACCAATGGAATAGGTTCGGTTACTTCCTAGCTTGTGAAGGAAGCTTGAGGAATCAAGGCAAAGTTTGAAGAAACTTTGGTAAGAAACCTTAGAGAGAGAATTCTCTTCGATTTTAGAAGATACTTTTGGAGAGAAATCTGAAGTTTTATTTCTCAAATGCTCAAAAGTGACTACAAGTGAAGAGAAAAGAAATATACAGGGAGAGGTAGCTTGTAGTGGAAGTTAACCTTAACCATGGTTCACTAGGAACCATGGTAAGGTGTAGCTAACCATCCATGGTTTCTAAAACTTGTAGGAAAAACTAACCTTGACCATGGTTCACTTAAGAACCATGGTAAGGTCAGCCAAACCTACTAAGGTTTAGAAGCTTGGAAGGCAAGCTTCAAAGCTTGTAGGAGAAGCTAGAATTCGGCCAAGAACACAAGTGAAGAGCTAGGCGGCCAAGACTCCAAAATGCTCCATGATTTATTTTGAAATTCTTTGATTTGGTTTAGTTAGGTTCATCATATGATGATGAGACCTAGCTAAATCAAATCTATGAAAAATTAGGAGCAAAATGAGTCTAATATGCAAAATTTTGCCTAGGCCCAGTTCTGGCCTAATTACTAGTCATACCCTCAAGCATTGCTAAATTTCATCCCTTTTTCCCTACTGAAAAAATATAAAATGAATGTATCAACAAAAGAGGTTAAATGGAGTTAAACTCTCCAAGTAACCTACCCTAAAATCAATATACAATCACTAATAAAAGCAAGTAAAGTGCCTCACAAATACAAAGACAAAAATAAACCTATAGAAAGAGACTACTATATGTACAAACATATGAAAAAGGTCTTTAAGATCATCCCATTCCTCTTGGTTCTTTTAAGATATCACCTCTTGGATTCCTTGGCCTTGGCCATAGTCTATCAGGTAGTCTTCTTTATTTGACTACAACCAGACCATATTTGATATTCTGCAATAGTTTACTTTCAAGATTCATGCATTCACCAAGTTTAACACACTTTAGTGTAAGAAAAAGAGTGTTGAGATACTTGAAAGGTATTGCTGATTTTGGCATTTGGTATAGTAAAAGTGATGGAAAGGTTGAAGGTTTTGTTGATAGTGATTGAGTTGGATTTATTGATGACTCTAAGAGCATAATGGGGTATGTTTTTTTTTCACTTGGTAGTAAAGTATTTTCATGGACCTCTAAGAAGCAAGATGTGGTTGCTCAATGCTCTGTCAAGGTTGAATATGTAACTGTAGCAACAGCATCAAATCAAACTATATGGGCCAAGAAAGTCTTGACAGATTTGAGTCATGTACAAATGGAACTTGCTATGTTATGGTGTGAAAACAAGTCAGCCATTTTAATTGCTAAAAATATAATTCAACATGGGTGAACCAAGCAAATCAATGTAAAATTTCATGCTATAAGGGAAGTTGAGAAGATTGGAGATGTTTAATTGATGTATTGCAAGTCCGAGGAGCAATTGACAGACATACTCCATGAGGCACTTCTAACCCTTAAGTTTAATGAGCTGAGAAGCAAGTTGAGAGTCCTTAAAAATGTTTTAAGAAGGAGTGTTAAAGCAATAAAACTTTTTCTTTGTCTTTTTACTGTTGTTATTAATTATTGTTACTTGTAGTAGTGGGTAAAGTTCTGCTGTAATTATTTTTCCTTACTCTAGTGGGTAACATTCTACTAAGTATCTGATTTTAGACAAATCTACACACTTAATGATGGTAAAAACATATGTTTTACTGATAATATTTATAGGTACTATGTATGACTGTCATTTTTCATATATTTGTCCTATATATATAAATGAAAAACATGCAAAATGATATGACTATCCAACAAATACAAAATTATTATATTCTCTAATCTTGCCTTTTTTTATTTTATAATTTTATATAATTCTTATGTTTTATATTTTCGTTGCCGATCGAATACCCTAAAAGAAACACACAATTGGGCCGAGAAACGAGAGGTACCAACATTTGTGGGCAAACCCAAGTGGATTATTAGAGCTGAAAAACACTGTTACAAGAAGTTTATTCATTCCTAAGCATGGACCATGGAGGCATGGAGATGCATTGGTTCTATGTTTGGAGTCAAGAGAACTCAAATTCTAATATGGGATTCATTCTCCACATCATTGATAAGAAGATTCTTGAAGCAAGCAAAGAGAAGGGAAAACGGAAGTTTAGTGATGAAGAACTGTAGTGACAAAAAAATCAGAGAAAAAGGAAGACAAGACAGGTGGCACTTCATCTAATGTTTGAGAAGTGTTCCTGCTCGGGAACACTCCTCTTGCAATTCCTTCTTGATCTCGCAAGTCTTCGGTGCCGACCGGATACTGTCCTCAGGGTGGGGGAGGGTACCTGCAAAGGCACTCCGACGCTCAAGTCAGTATTCGGTATGGAGCAATGAATGCTACAGTATTAAATAATCGTACCTACCTTTCTGTCCCATCAATATTGTATTTATAGTGACTTGTTGGGCCTGATGGGCCTTTTTGATTAAGAGATTAATAAATTGAGTTTATCCTTTAATTCGGGTTGATGTGGTACTCTGTTATCTAACCAAAATTAGCGTAATGTAACTTCAATAATGATGGGTATTCGGCTTATATTATGGCCGAATACCCTTTTAGGTTATGCATTAGCTGAACTAGTACTTGGCCTTCAAACTTGGTGATTGGGCGACTGTTCAACCTTGTGGAGGAATACCCTTTCGGGTTGTGTATTGGCCGAAGGGGTATTCGGTTCCTCAGTATGCTGATGATGATAAGTTCCTAACTTGTAACCAAATACCCTTTCAAGTTGTGCATTGACCGAAAGGTGTTCGGTTCCCGGTACAGTGAGAAGAGGCAAGACAACCCAAGAATGTGGTTGGAAAGGTGGTGTTTTGTGTCATAAATCATAATGGGTAAACAAAAACAATAAGAGAAGCAACCTTTCCATTAGATGTGAGTGAGTCGCATAGGAAGGTAATGGAAGAACAAGTTTCTGCCCAAGATTCTACTCGTTTGGGATGCATAACATGTGTATTCACTCTATTCATAGCCAAGTGAGCCTTGCTCGTAGGGTGTTTGGGTCTAGGGTTGGAGATCTTTTGCAATGACCATAGTCTAGCAAGTGATGCATAAACAAAAAATAGCAAACTCATCATGCTTCCAACATTGCGATCTGAGGGAAGACTACTTACAACTCATTGCTCCGGAGGAAAAAACTTTCTTCTACATATCAACCTTGAGAACAAGGTTGTTTTTTTAGGAGGGCCTGTATTGTTACAACTACAGGAAAGGCAGAGTTAGTTAGGATAGTTTGAAAACTAATGAGTTAATTAATTAGAGTGCGTAATTAGATATAAATAGGGGAAGAATGGTAGAAGGGTTGATGATTATCTGTTTAGCTCTTTGTATAAGGAAAAATTCTTTGTGAAGGGGAAATGGTTGGAGAAGAGTTACCTCTCCTATTCTTTGTTCCTTTGCAATCAAAAAATAAAATCCTCCTTTTCTTTGTCATTTGAATTCCTGGTTCCTAAGTCCTAACATAATCACTCCAGCTTCTAAAATATTTTTAAAATTCAATTAATAGTTTTAGTATTACTGTGCCGTTGAAAGAACTTATTTACAATTTATTTAGATTGATCTTTTGATATAAGTATTTTTGTTTGTGTTTGTAAGAACTTAGGAAAATAACTAAAGATATGTCCTTCAATTTATTTCAATAAACTCTCAGGATAACTTAAGAAAACAGCTCACAAATTATATTCTTGAATCATACAATAAGGAATGGAAAAGATATCGAAACAAGATGCAAGGGATTAGAGTAGTGGAAGCAAGAAAAACTGTAGGAGTGCTTTAAATTAATAAGTTCAATGTCTAAAGACAATACTCGTAGGTGGTTCTATTCTGGAAAGCAATACAAACACATGTATGAATGTAACTGGTGCTTTCAAAAATGGAATCATATTTTAAACAGCCACAGGTTTTATAGCATGCCTTGGTCTTCTCATCTCCCTCGTAACTTCTCTGCCAAAGAAATAAGAACAAGACGGCTTCATTGGCAAGTAGCAAAAAAGACTTGAAATCTTTCTTCGATGTTTAAAGGCATGATGGCTATGTTGTTCAAAAATATTGTCTTTCCTTCAAATCCAAGTAACCAACAAGAATGCAAAACCAAAAGAAATTAGCAAAGTAAAGAGGGTCCCCATCTCCTAATTAAGCATTAGCTATGATTGGACCAGCAGCAAGAATCTCCTCTGTCAGTTTGTTGTTCTCTCCAATCTTGTAGTTGGTGAAGGTCTCAAAATTGTTCTTGAACAATCCAGCCAGCTTCAACAGTGTCTCCTTGTAGGCACCTTTGTCTGACCACTGCAATCAAACAAAATTTCCAATTAATGTTACAAGATTTTGAAAGTAGAAAAATAGTTGAAATGGTTGAAAAAGACGAGTTGTGGACCACTAACCGTGTTCTCAGGGTCTAGAATTTCCGAGGGAACACCCTCCACTTCAGTGGGGATCTCAAGTCCAAAAATCTCAGTCTTCTTGTATTTTGCCTTCATGAGGCTTCCAGAGTGAATAGCATCAATTATTTTTCTTGTAAAAGATAGCTTAATACGACTTCCAGAACCATAACTGCAGTTTTTCACAACCAACAAAGTGAGTTTTCAGTTTTATAAAGTGTTAGCAACATATTCTAACACACTTCTAATACATACTCTCTATTATTTGTTAAGCTTCTAATACATATTCTCTATCATTTGTTAAGAAAGAATGTATTTGAAAAAGAGTATTAGAAAAAGGAGTCGTTTTTCTTTTAACTATTATTAATTGAGTTTCGTTAACTAGGACACTAGTTAAATCAAATATGTGGAAATTTATTGAAAGCTACAATAAGATTTCATGAGAAAATATGCAGGTACATTTTGATTCCTTAACCTATTAATCAGTGTCTTAAGAGTACTGGTTAGCATTTTCCTTATTAATTTTATAACTATTAAAAACATACCTTCCACCAGACCATCCCGTGTTAACAAGCCATCCAGTAGCACCATGTTTCTGCATCTTTTCAGCAAGCATGGCTGCGTACTTTGTGGGGTGAAGCATTATAAATGCTGCACCAAAACAAGCTGAAAATGTTGCCTGTGGCTCCTTTATACCCTCCTCTGTGCCAGCCACCTTTAGTTCTCATAAAGAAAAGAACTCGTGAGAGAAATATATAGAGAGGAAGCAACATTAGCAAGATATATAGCGTGATAAGTTACTCGGACATTACCAAAGCTGTGTATCCACTGATGAAATGGTACATGGTCTGCGACAGGCTTAACTTACTCACAGGTGGAAGCACACCAAATGCATCACATGCCAAAAGGATCACATTCTTAGGGTGAGGACCAACACATGGTAACTTAACATTTGGAATGTATTCAATTGGATAAGCTGCACGAGTATTTTCTGCAATATGAAAAAAAAGTATATTTTATCAACAAGATCTGCTGTAATTAATTTCAAATCAGTATAAGCCACGTGTATTATATATGATGTTATTATGCCTCAAATTCTTGTAATTTGGTTCAAGTTATTGATTATTGTCTGAATAATATTCAAATCATATGAAATAGTCTGCAATACGAGTATTAAAATTAGAGGTTTGACTTGTTTAATTCTATCTTATCCCTATGTATTAGTAGTTAAAATAATCAGCCTTCGTTATTTGTAAGAGTTGAACTCACATAATGGATTCATATTATGAATCAGGGACACCTTGCATACACATATTAAGTCAAACATTAATCTGGTATGACCTAGTCACAACTAAGTCCTTATATATATATTTTTTGATAACCATAACTAAAGACCCTCTTGTCAGCTAGTAAGCAAATACTATAAACCAAGTCATTACTTACCTGTAACTGATTTGTCAGTGTAATCCACTACTCGATCATGCTCCCCAAAAACAACATTCTCCAAGACTGAGAACCAAGTGAATAAAAATGCATCAAAATGAGTGAAGTCAAAGATGAAGAGATGTTAATTAATAGAGTAGGCTAAGATTAATAGGGCAATACCTGTGCCAAATTTGATGGCGTTCCAGATGTCAGGTTCTTTCTCCCTAGAGAGATCAATGCATTTGGCGTAGCAACCACCTTCAATGTTTGAGACACCGCTCCCACTCCAACAGTGTTCATCATCTCCAATTAAAAACCTATTATGATCCGTGGACAGAGTGGTCTTTCCAGTACCTAATATGAATAGTAATAACAACAAAAAGGGTCCATAAACCATAAATCAAGTTCATAATTTGATCTCACTATATGCTAAAACTTTTTAAAGTTGAAAGACAAAAAAGAATGCATACCTGAGAGGCCAAAAAAGAGAGCAACATCTCCTTCTTTGCCCATATTGCAGCCAGAGTGTAGGGAGAGGATTTGGCGCTTAGGCATGAGATAATGCATGAGACTGAAGAGACCCTTCTTCATTTCTCCTGCATACTGTGTTCCAAGAATGACCATTTCCTTCCTTGCAAGACTAATATCAACGCTAGTGGAGGATGTCATGTAGTGAGTGTAACGATTGCAAGGAAACTGTCCTGCATTGTAAATAGTGAAATCTGGTGTACCAAAACTCTCAATCTCTTCAAGAGTGGGCCGAATGCACCTGCATACATTCATTTAATTGGTCATTTGTTCACCCTACTAAACGTGTATAAACTTTTTGCATTTCATCTACTAAGAAGGGATGTACATGTTCAATAGATATTCAGATGGTTACTAATAAAATATAACATTTAATGCTATTAATATGCTAATTGTTAAGTACTGTAATTTTTATTTATTGATTGATTCTTTAAACATTTGCTTATGGTTGGCGAAATTAAAATAAGAGGGTCGGTGTGATGGTAAATTATTATTTTGCCTATACTTACATGTTGTGCATAAACAAGGAATGGTAAGCTCTAGCAGAGACAATCCTGACTTTGATTTTGTTCTCTGGGTCCCAGTTCAAGAATTGGTCATTCACGAAGACCTGAAAATTAGAAGGAATATTTTTTTTAGAATTCCACCGAATGCCATCCATACATAAGATAAAATATTTTTAAAATTTATGTATAATACTTAAGCAATGGGATATAAATCAACAATACCAAGAGACACAAAAAGTCATAATTGATTTAAAAAATATAACTTGCCCACTTTAACAAAATAACAACAGGTTCCATTCCTAGTCACCATTTTATAAAGATGAGATAAACACAGAAAATCAGGGCGATATCTTTGACATTATGAAATACGTGATATATATACATCGTTAGCCTGTTTTTATACATTTCTCAGAGTTGCACTAATAGTTTTTTTTTTTTCTTTTACACAATTCATACACGTTAGACAGAGAGAAGACAAAAATGGAAAGATAACTGACCTTATCCAAAGAGTTCAAATAATCAACGGCTCTTTCTCTATTCACCATGAAACTGTGCTCGTCCATCTCGATGTTAGGAGAACCCCTTCAAAGTACAACATTTTGAGCATCAAATGTGAATCAAAGAAAAAATTATATTTTAAAAGTTAAATTTTTTTTTTGATAAATTAAGTAAAATTTCACTCACTTTCCCCACCAAAGCTCATTCTCAGTAAGTTCATCCTTCACCACACGCTTGTCTCTAGGACACCGACCAGTCTTGGCCCCAGAAAGCGTAGCCAATGCCCCAGTCGCAGTGATGAACGATCCTTTCTCATACTTAATCGCTTGTTCATAAAGTTCTGCATGCACCAAATTATATCTACACTAATAATCTTCTTGTACATATATTATATATATTGTTATACATTTTTGTGAGCATAAACTTTTTACTTAGTGAAATTAATTTAGATTAGTCAACTCATTATTTTAATTAGAAACATGCCATTGCCATCCTTGAGTCCTTGACCAATTTATTTTTTCAAACATAAGATATATGAGAAGGTGATGCTGAATTCATTTTCGTACACCACAAGTACAAAATGATGTAATACCAATCTGTATGAACAATTCGTGAATTTAAAAAACGCACATTTAAGTTATCACGATGATTCATAAACACGTTGTAATAACGTAACGAAGAAAACTTGTCCTGTGAGAAGCTTCAAGGGTCATTTTATTTTCCCTTTAATTGTAATAAAATGGCAGTTTATTTAATTTTGCTTCTTTTTATCTAGAAAATGATTATTTGAATTTATGGAAATATAGTAGTAAAAAGTAAAAGAAAGAGTAAAATAAACCTGCGGGGGAGAGGTTATAGAGAACATGTGTGAACTTCAAAGCACTGTCACTGACAGCGATGGTGGGTGTCACAAGTGGGTGTGACACGTGTGCGACCCTTGAACCTTCGTACCTGCTTGCAGGATCGCCTTTTACTACCTTTGGTCCACTTTCTCTTGTTAGAGACGCCAAAGATGCACTGAAACATTCAACAAATTCAATTAATATATATGCTCATTCAAAATATGTTACTTTACGTTCACAATTTGTTACAATTCCTCCACGACCTTATAAAATTAGTGTCATAACAAAACAATGTGACATCAAATCAAATCAGCACATGGTATAAGAATGTTATGAGAGAAAATAACATGCTATAACCTGATTAATACATCACTGGATTCTTAATGGTAGAGTAACGAATCAATCATGGAGAGGAAAATCCGTAAGTTCCCAATTGCATGTGTCCAATTTTGAGGCGACAGAGGAATGAAGTTATTTAAATTTGTTGTATCTTATGAACGACAAATTCTTAATCCCATATATTATTGTAGATATATAATTGCATGTACCCGGTGAAAAAACAAGGTGATGAAAATAATATCTTCATAATTATTTGAATATAACATGCGACTCCAAATATGTCCATGGGAGACTCTAAGCTATCCTTTAGAAACCATTGTACACTATAATAAAAGAAGTAAAAATTTCTAATGTTTAAGTGCTTGTTTGGATTATCATTTAAAATGATGTAAACGAAAATCTTTGGAAATAACAATTTGTTACTTTCACGTTATAACGGCCGTTTAAGAATTTTTTTATGATAAATCAAACACACTGTAAATATGTGTTTGTTTCTCCGTTCTATCTAATTGAACGTCAATCTATCTCTCATCTTATGTGTCTTGAAAAATAACTGTTTATTTAAACACATCCTAATCGGTGAAAGATAAGTATTAATATATATATATATATATTATCGCATATGATTTATTAAATATATTTTTAATTTAATGTTAAGAATTAGTATTTTTTAATAATAATAAAAATAATAAATAAATAAATAAAAGGGAATGTTAAGAATAGTGTTTAAATTACCTGATGGATTCTAGCTGCTGTTTGCTGCGTTCTTCCTCAGACATGGTACTAAAGGCAGTAGGCTGAGCCCCCCTGGGAGTGCTAGGTGCAGACTTCTTCTTCTGCAACGAGTGAAGCTCATCAATCGTTTGAGCCTTCACCGTTGGACCACTAATTTCTTCCTCGTCACGAATTTGAATGTTCCCATTCCCGGTTCCAACACTCGCAGGCATCTTCTTCTACATGCACGTACTTATAATTAATTAACGTTAAATCTTGTCACGTCACATGCAAAAATGCTTAATAAACACTCATTTCATTGCATCCTCATCATATCATAACGAATAATACAATATTACTACACACACAACAAAAATATATATAACAAGACACCAATATTAATGCAAAAGTATGTGTTGAAGATGGAGGGGACATGCATACTTTTGAGCTTGGTGCGCAATGCTAGAAGCAGAAATAACCTTAACGGAGAAGAACGATATGGTGATCGAATAATGCTGCTCCAAACTTTGCCTTTTAAAGGCTATGGTGGCCCCACCTTAACCATGTATAGTTGAGGGAACCATGGTTTGATCACGTCAGAGTCAAGCTCTCAAAATTGGAACAATTCAAATATCCTAAGAATCGGGCTAGGATCGATAGTCATGGTTTGCACACAAGTGCTGCCACGTAAGGAAGAGGTTATTTTGTGACCAAAAAAAATGAAACTGGAATTTAATTACAAAATTCACCAATTCAAGACAACTAGCACGTCCCACGTGTACACAAAATACAAGGACAATAAAAAATATTGAGAGCAAATATTCACAACACCTACATAGAATAAATCAACTCTAGATTTAAGTTCCGAAATTCCTGTGAGCTATTTTAGTTCTAGAGTAAAACTAGGCGCTATGTGCTAAGGGATTAAAATTAAGGAGGTCAATACCTCTATATTCAATTATTTGAATTAATGTGATATACCTGTTTAAATTATTTTTGAAAAAGATGAACGTACACCCTATTTTATAGTGTATGGGTAAGGAAGAGAAATGGAAGAAGAAAAAAAAAGAGAATAATCAATATGGTAGATAGTTTGATTAGAAATAAAGAGATATTAGAATAAAAATAGGGTGAAAATAGGATGTAAAAGACGGGGAATGTATGATAATAACTAGTACGATGTTGGTATTAATGCACCAGTTGTCGATTTTGTTTATGTTATTTAATTGATAATTTATATAAATATTTTCTTTGTAATGACCTTATCACTTCCTATCAAAGACAATATATTGCAGAAAAATATAGTGTAAAAATTTTCATGTAGAAATTGATAGTATCAATAACACGAGAAAGAATGAGATTTGTTAATACTAAGCTAAAGAATGATTAGTAAACTAAATTATAAGTCTTTGAGGAGATTAATATGCAAAGTCATTTATTTATTTTGATTCACTTAAAAAAGTTCTTCATGCAAAATCATTTATTTGAATCATAGTTAAACTTACATTTCTCAATGTATTCTACATGTTTTCACATATGGCTTGCAAAAGTATTAATAATGACATCAACAAATAAACATTATAGTGTGTTTTGGGGATGATTAGCTTTGAATTTTTCAATTTATTTTATACAAAAAAACTATTTACAGAATAAGTGTATGTCCGGAATAATAACACATTCGTAAAAAAAAAAAAAAACTGAAACTAAGTTGCTTTTATACATATGAAAATATAAATTTTATGATTATTTTTTAATATTTAAAAAAAAATGGTTTACTATGTAAAAGTTGATTTTTGTGATATATCCGAAACAAAATTAAATATCATAAAATAATTTTACATCACACTTAAATATAACCTTATTTTATATACATATAATTAATTATTGAAATAATTTAAATTTGACAATTGTTTCAAGCATATTTTTAGTGTTTTGAATTATAATTATTGAATAGGAATCAATCTATCAAGTTAAAGCAATTTATGTAAGTAAAAAGTTGAACACAAGCGATTAATGTACTAAGTTCAAGATTAAATTATTGGGATAATGTTCGAGTTTGATTCTTGACGGAAACAATTCTTGACCAACCTTTATTTATTTTTCAATCAAATCAGATATCTAAGGTAAAACTTTAGGATACTATTAAAAAAAAAAAAGAGCAACTTATGTTAATGGATACGAACAATTCAAATTTTATTGCATGTCATGTAACTACAAAAGGTTGTCAATATACATAACAAAGTAGAAATTATTAACGTTTCACCAAATCAAAGTTTAAACACATTTGTTCATATTTTAACAAGAGTGATTGGAGCTGTTAAAAAAAATAATGATTGGAACAACTTAAGATTAATTAAATGATTTATGACAAAATTAGTTCATGAAGTTCACAATAAGAAAAATGAGTTGACAACCAAAAAAAAGAATTTCAAATTTTCTTTTGTTTGTCAATGTTATGGCTTTACATATTCAATATTTTTCAAAGATGAGGATAACTTTTTGTACCATGAGTGGAAAATTTTTCATCACCACTTGAAATTTAATTTTTTTAGAGTAATGTTTTAAATGTGTTCTAGTGAGAGAACCTATTAGGGAAATAACCTAGAAGTGCCTCAAATTCAAAGCACTTAAGAATGTAACTTACTTAAGTTTGTCCTAGAGCCGAGATTTTAAATCTAAGCGCATGTCTTTATGATTTCTCAAGAATCTGGGGATTCTTTAGAAATCATCATTATAAGGAGGATTGTATTTCAAAAATCAATCATGGTTACTAATGATTTGATTTTGTATCAAATATGGCTAGATTCGCAACATATATAATCTTCAACTAAGTTGGATCAACTCTCTTTAAGGAGAGACATATATATGGTGGATTATCTGGTTACAACCTACTTAGTCAAAAAACTAAGAGGATATATATCCCTGGTCAATGAAGTATCGAACTAAAGTGTAACCTTCTTTGGTAAGTTATGACAGGCCATACCAGTCGAGCCTGAGTCCTTTCTTGAGGTTAATACCGAGAAAGTGGGGCCTACGTTTTTTCTTGGCTAAATACCGAGAAAGTATACTTACCCTCCAATTTCGAGTGTGTAAAGGCAAAGAGACTTATGAGTCGCCTTAAGTTCTTTCTTGATTAAATACCAATAGAGTACACTTTGCCCTCCAATCATGGAATGGTTCCAAACAATAGAAATCTTTCTTCTATTTTTTTTCCATCTTTAACTATTTTAATATCATGACCCTCAGTAGCATTAACCAAAACGACTTTAGTTTCATCTTCAGATGGAGCAACATCAAAACTATTCATCGTCACAAGATTACTAGTAGATTTGTTTGATGGATTTGGTGGAGTTTCCATATGCAAAAGAAAGAAAACAACTCAACATTATGAATAACAACATATTACTAACAAAGTAATAGCTGAAAACTTTGTTAAAAGAAAATAGAAAAGTTAAATAACTAAAATTAATCTATGTACTTCTTATTATACACATAAACAAATATGTTAAGTAAATATAATTTATAACTTCAATAAAAAAAATTAACGACAAGATTAATATAAAATTACACTTTCAAAAAGCTATATCACAATTTAATACTTTCAAATATGTAGATGAATGAGTTACACATTTCGAATCAAAGTCACAATTGATACTAATTTCTTTTGCTAGATAAAAAATTATCAAAGTGGGAATAGAGAAATAGAACAACAATATTGTTGCATTAGGTAAAGAACAAGTATTATCACATTAAAGGTTTGATTTTAACTACTAGTTAAGAAAGTGTGTACCCTTATTAGTGTGAGTTCAAATGAAATCAGATCATGATTTACAATGTCCTTAACTAACAATTCCTTAACAAGTGAGACAATTACATACAAACACACTTGTTTCTTGAAAGTTCCTAGCAAATTAAACTACCATTGTTCTTCAAATAATACAACACAATTGATTCATACATTCTCTAGTTTTATTCCATTACCTTTGCTGAAGTTGGATTAGAAAACTTTCCCAAAATAAAACAAAACATTTTTTATCAACGGATAAAATAAAACATGTGAGAATAGTTGGGAACCTTTAAATCTAACAATTAGCAGGCTCAATGTGGTATTATATGAAGTTATGATTGACAAGTTTTCCAACAACAACGATGCGAGGCAAAGATGCAAGCGATGATGTGAGGTGGAGATGCAAGAAGCGATGCGAGGTGGAGATGCAAGTCACAATGTGAGGAGACATGAGTGAGAACAATGCAAGGTGAGACATGAGACAAACGATAAAGGTGATACAAGGATATAATAAGCGACGATAAAAGAAGGTGAGACATGAGACAGACAACGAATGACAACATAATGAATGGGTAAAGACACAAAATTGCAAAAAGAAAAATAAGATTAGATAGAATCTCAATCATAATATCATAATACAACTAAAAGATTCACTTTCTTCGATATAATATCATAATACAATTACAAAGTTTAAAAGATAAAAGCATGAAAATCAACTAATCCACCTCCTTCATTGAAAATAAAAGGAGAGAATACGAAAATTACTATATTCATGAACATATCCTAAGCCTAAAAAATTAAAAATATTTAATCTTAAACGTTAGAAAACACATTTCATGTCCATATTTATTCATGTATGGTTAAAATTAATTGATCCCATTATAACTAAAAGAAAAAAGAAAGAGCTCAACCTTTAAATTTAACTAAGATTAAAATTACAAATTTAAAATGCTTTAACGGTTTAAAAAACATATAATTCATCCAAATTTTAACTTACAAAAAAATTACCAATCTAACCATTTCAACCATTCATTAAAAAGAAATTTTTTTTAATTATTAAAAAACTAGTATTTTAACATATACAATGTACATACTACATATTTATTATATATAACTAAAATTTATAATAAAGTATATATAAAAATAAATGTTTAAATATATAAATCATATTTAAAATTTATATAAATAGATATTTTTAGATATATAAATTATATTTTAAATTTATGATAAATAATTTATATTGTAATATAACTTTATTTTTATTTATTGATAATTTATTTTAAAATTATTAAAATTTAATTCATAAATAATTATAATAAATAAAAATCAAATTAGATAAGAAATTAGAGAGAGAAAAAAATACTTAAAAATCCTCTAACAAAAAAACAAGAATCCTTAAAAATACTAACACAACATAAAAATTCATATTTAATATATATGGAGGTGATCTAAAGTTGAATATAGAACTAGTCAATCATATTTTTTTTCATATTTTACCTAGAAAAAATCATCTACAATAAATATTACATTTCCATGAATAAAAAATTACAAGTCATGAATAAAGTCTACACCATCTAAATCCATACTTGTAAGAAATAGCTCTCCGTTATCTTCATCGATGACAAAAATGTGACTTGAGTTAGAATTCAATAATATTCAATTGTTGATCTATGTCTGTGTAAGGTTTTTGCTATGTGCCTTACTAAGCTCGGAGCTTCCCAAATCTTAAAGCAGGGAATCCATGTCCTCTCTCTGAAATTTATGCTCTAAAAGGCATCATCTATATGCATCAAATAAACCTTGTTTTACTAACTGATAGTATTCTTTCTGTCCATAGAGTTCCCTGAAACATCAAAAATATATATTAAAAACCAACAAGATATGGATATATATTAAAACCAAGATATGAAGATGGTTACAAGCTTCAACATGATTAACTTCTATTATCTAAGGGGAAAAAAAAAAAGACGAGAAAAGTAATTTATTTATAAATAAAAAAAAAACTAAAAATAAGTATTTATTACAGTGTTCTTTCTTTCTTGGCTGACATTATTTTTGTATCACCACTGTGGAGAGAGTGCCACCAGCTGACAGTATAGAATTATTTCTTTTTAGGAGCGCGGATGCAATGGATATTGTGCGAACCAGTAATTTACTTATGTTAAAAAAAATAATAATAAATAAATAAATAAATAAATAAAGACATCATTCACAATCGAGCAGAATTGGACCCAGCTGACCAAGCCATATCAAACTCGAGCTCAGGTTCCTCATCAGTGAAGTAAAGAAATTCAATTTTTTAAGACACCATGTGAAAATTGAGACAACGGAGAAACAAACATCAATTCAGATTTATTCAAATATGTCATTGAAAAATGCATTGTTAGAACTTTACTTACTACCACACAGACAGGGTTGCTTACAGATCCAACCTGACCTATAGTCCCCATTCCCAACACTATAGAATGGACTTTCCCTTACATGTGAGGGATGGGTTAACTTTAGTAGATCCTTAAGTACAAGGGAATAAATATATATAATTGTAGAATTATTAGTAATTGTGCAACATGGCACAGCAAACATTATGAATATAATCCCAAATTATTTCCCTTAAAACAAATAGAACATAATAACTGGTAGATAAAAAGGCCAAACGGTAAACTTCATACAAAACCACATCCAGTAGTAGCAATAGGATTCATCTGCATCCTTAGTAAAGGAAGAAAATTTCAAAGATAAAAAATGAACACATGAATCAGCAGATGTTTTCATTGATAAGATGCTTTTTTTTTTTAAGCTAATCAACTATCTACAGGATAAAACCCAACAGAATAATGCCAGACAGAATAAAGCCTAATAGTATTGTGAAAGTTACACTGTATAAACTTTTATACTATTCAATTTTGATGCACCACATGACTGTAACTGTTGTGTGATGAGTAGGGGCTTTTGAAGAGAAAATGGCAGTGGAAGGATCTATAAGGCCCCGTCCTCTGAGGATAATACGTCTAGTTTGTAAATTTTACATTGAACACTATATGTCATCTATATGATGTATTTGAAGTAAATTTTCATTGTCTCTGAATCTTACAATTCGATAAAAATTATGATTCATGATTCAAAAATTAGCTTGGCAAGTCACAATTCAAATCTTGATTGCAAGAGTGAAGGCAAGTGATAAGAGAGAGAGAAAAAAAAAAAAAAAAAAAAAATTACGGTAGGACAAGCCTGTAG